CAGGAGGTAATTTTCTTCCCCCGTTCTTGAGGCTTAAAGGAAACCTTACACTCATGACTTCTGGAGTAAATGCCTTTTACCAAAAGCTCAGAAGATCAGAAATCATAGCAAATTTTCACTGTCCTCACCGATGTCAGCTGCATTCACCTTCCATATTTCACAAGGATGCAGAAATTTACCTAAAAAAATCATCATTTGTTGCCTGATGGACAGGCAAGGAAGCTTCTTCCACAGACCTGTGTATATTCTGAAGATTGTGTGTTTCAGATAACCCTGTTTTCCCTATTTACCTTTTTCCAATGCTGTAAAACAGATTTAAACAGAAAAAGTCAAAGATAGCAGAAGTTGAGTCCCAGCTCAAAAATGCCACACAAATTATCCTTTAAAACTGGTTACAGGCCACGTGTGGCAAGATCTTCTGCCTTAATTTTAAAAGGACCAAAAGGCAGGGAATGGACCATCCCAAAGAACTGTACTAAAAACTCAAATTAGAAAACAAGTCTTACATTAAATCCAAATTCTGTACCTACCAATTCCAGCTACTTAAAAGTATGTGATCCTGCCAAACAGCTGAAAAAATATGTTCCTTGCACCCATATGAGTTACTTGTTACCAAGTAGTCACAAAAGAAAAAGACAAAAACACATGGCAAGAAATAAGTAAAGAAGCCAACAATTTCTTGATAGGTAAAGTGTTCAGAAATAGAACTGGGGGGGGGGAAAAAAAAGAGGGGGAGGTAAGGAAATGTTAACAGAAATTATAAAAGGAAAGTGTTGGTAAAAGGAGACCAACAAATTAAAGGGATAAAAAAATTAGAAAAGAATATGTACGAGACACCAACAGAGCATTCACTGTACATGTTATTGTAGATGTGAAAGACATAAGGGCATACAGCAAAAAAAAAATCCTCATATTCATTTAAGATGCCAGTGCTGTCCCTCCTACTATGTTTTCACACAAACGTTCCAGCAGCAACATCAGATCCCAGGCTCTGGGCATATAAATACAATTGCCATGCCAAAATTGAACAGGAGGCAACTGGAAGGGGAAGATGTCTCATCAATTACACTTAATCATTTGCAACACTGCCATCTACCCAGCACTGAAAATAAGTAACAGTAATTTGTTTCTTCCCTTCTACAGCTTCCGAGCTGTGGGGAATTAGCTTTCCCTCTAGCACAGCACAAAAAAACCCTTAACCTCCCATCAGAGATATCAGGACCACAGTGGGTCAAGACTAGTTCCACACTGAGCTGACATCCCTATAGATACCATCTGTCATACCCAGGGAGGCAAGTGAATTGCTAAAATGTTGACCAAGGTATATACATCAGCCATAACCCCATAAAATAGAATTGCTTATTCTAAATTGGATTAGTATGCATTACACAGATTTTTTTGTGGGGGTTCCAATTTTTAACTGTTAATATTTCTACATAGGCACAAGAAAGAGAAGCCATTTCACACTGTTCTTTAGAACAGAATGTTTCCAACAGGCTGCTGCTGTAACTTCACCTCTGTGACGCCACAAGCATCCATCAACGGTGACATGACATGAAGCAGTAAGATTTTGGCAACTTGCTACTGCCTGAATACAGGATTGACTCTCCTACATCTCATCTCCCCCATATTCCTCCCTACTTATGCTCTGCCTGTCATTGCATCTGCTCTAAAGCACATTAAATTCTCTATGGAACCAATTCACCTCTGATGGAGATAATTTTCCACTGAATTTTTCACTGAAAATGAATGTTTTTCCTAAATTAAAGGCATTATTTACTTAGTCGCAAGCAAACCAGTCCATCCCAACCATGAATTGCCTAAATTGTAATAGTTAACAGGCTACAAAGTTACAGGCAGAGAATATCTGAAATGCATTCAGTGTCAAAAAATGAAACTGTGAGGTATCTCTCAGAAATACTATACACTTCTCCTGGAATCCAACAGAGAGAAAACATCACTCTACCTTACATATACTGAGCTTGTAAAGAATTTCACTCTACTCACTTAGCTTTGCCATAGAGAACACAGCCATAAACCTAAAGGACATATTTTCCCTGCAGTAAGGTAACATTCCATTCTCTAGCTTAATAACTTTTTTCCTAAGAAAGAAAAGTAGGAACTGAAAACATTTCAAGCACACCAAAAAGCACACAGGGCTAATCTGAAGAGACTGAGAGATCCAGTCCTAAATTATACTGTGTTTGAGCAATGATGGTGAAGTCCCAAATCCCACATGAGTACAATACAGTAAACCTACAGCAGAAAATGAGAAAATCTGCAGATGAGCCCATGCATGTTCCTCCAGAACAGAAACCATATATCCACTTGGCTACTAAAGGCACTTTTTTAATGTAGTTGCCAGGGGCCAAACTCTTGACACTGGTGAAGAAAAAAACAGCAGCCAAAAAAAAAAAAATAAAAAAATAAAAATAATAATAATAAAAAAAAACACACAGGCAGCCTTGTGTAGAAATTATTTTGGAAGAGGTTCTTGGTCCTCGTGATGTGAAGAAGCACCATTGCCACCAGGCGTAACAAAGAGAGGACACAGATGCAGCCTGGCTAACTGACTTGCTTGCATCCCTGACTCAACATCATGTCTGTCACAATCAAAAGCTCCTCTTGAAAGAATTGGGTTTTTCCTTCCTCCACAGTGGTTATGCCTTATTTATACTAATCCAGTGACTAAGTAATACTCCTTCAACTCTTCAAAGCTTTTATTATCCCTCTCACTAGTACTCAACACTGAAGACAGATGTCAGGGAGGTTTTCTTTCTGATCATAAAAGGCAGTTGACAAATTAGCAGAGAACCTTCTCAGAAAGAAATAAAAGGCATTTGTCTGTTTCACAGTTTTGTCAACCTGTTTTTTTCCTTTAAAATGTATTTACAAGATCAGCTCGTATCCTCTCTCTACTCTGTGATCCCCTTGGGAATAGACTCTTCAGCTCTACACAGCTAATCGTTATTCCCAAATCATTCCTGAAAAGCAAGGCATTTGTTGAGAAGACAACTTCAGAATTTAAATTAAACACTTCAGTCAGCCACCTGTTTTGGTCTATTTACAGGACTACCAGAGACATAAGTCTTATGTGAATGCAGTTACAGTACATCAAGGCTCCAATTGCCAAGAAAATCCTTGATTTCTACTGCACCTAATTTAGAAATTATGTACTGGAAGGAGTTTCTATTTAAGGAGCAAGTATAATAAAAGTAAATGAAACCAATACCTTTGAGTAATTCTATTCATGCTATTCTATTACTGCAGAAAATGCCATTGCTCTACTGCTACATAGAACATAGTGCTATGTAAACAAATCCAATTAAGATCATCTGCTCCATAGATCCACTTTTTTTGGATTGTGTGTTTTTGGTTTTTTTTTTTGGCTGAACAACAAGCAGCACAAGCTATGGCTGATTTGAGCCACGTACAACTTTTTACTGGTAAAGTGGCTACTAACTCAGAAGAAAGAAGGGGCCAACCTTTAAGTCAAGGGCACACTTTGGACCTTATTTTCCAACCAATTGATTTTATCCATGAGAACCCTGAACACTTCCCCCTCTTTCCCCCAGAAAAACAATCATCTTTCACACCTCTATTTCCATTGCCAAATGTGGCTGAAATCACACATTTCCTAGAAACTGGCAGGGGGTGGAGGGCAGATGGGAAAACAACACGGCTGTAAACACGACTTATTGCCTCAGATGAAACTCAAAGCAGTAGTTTACATTTTATGACAAGTTTTTCAAGTCATTAAATACATTTTGTTAAAGTAGCTTAGAATACTCTATATATTACTCTACATTTGAAGCATTAAGGAGATAAGAAAACTGACAGGTCTTTTCAAATTGTTACCTCAACGATATCTGAGTTGGTTCTGCTTTCGTGGGGCTCGTTGTATTCTGTGTATTTAAGTAGAACTTTGTCCATATCAGTGCTGGCATACTGAAAGAGTTTGTTAGAGCTGTTAAAAATGATGAGTGCTATTTCACAGTCACAGAGTACACTCAACTCATATGCTTTCTTCATTAATCCAAACTTCCTCTTTGTAAAGGTGACCTAGAGAAGAAAGAACAACAATTTATTTATTTTTAAAACACATCACAAGGGTTTGAAGAGCTACAGTCAAGCACTCAAGGAATACACCAACTGAGCCCATACTGATATACTGCTTGTTGGTAGGAATAAACAGAGTATGTATACAAGCTTAACAGAAGAACTGCCTACTGGATTTTGGTTGTCACTTTGAGGGCCAGTGCTCTGTATTAGACTAAGCTAAATAATTACACCCCCCCCAACTCTTCCACTGGTAAGTAACTACCAAGGAGAGTTCAAGATTGTAGGATACTGTAATAGACCCTCCTTCTAACATGGACTTGCCAGGTATCACAATAGTTTCTTCTGTGATGATTAGTTATTCTGTAATTAGTTTATAAGTTACAGCCTTAATTCTAATGAACTTCAATAAAAACAAGCAGAAACAATGGAAGTGACACTGTTACTACATAATATGATTTCTAACTGTGCTAAGCTAAGAAATATTTTTATTTTGTTGCTATTAAACTGTCTAATAAGATTCACTTATACTTTTAAACTGTTTTCTGTCACTCAGGAACATCATGAAACGATAATTTGGTCCAATTAGAACTGCTGTGGGGAAATAAATCCATTACAGGATATCACAAAGGAGCATTTGCCCACCAGGGAAAGATTCAGTTATAAAAACCACTATCAATTATGAAACAAAAAAAATATAAAAGAATTACTCTGTTCATAAGATTTCAGTTAGTTAATGATATGAGACTATCCCTGTATTTGACATCAAGTTGAATCAAACACAGGTCTGATGCTAAGACAAACCTTCCTCAAAGGACAAAATTTTTACTAAATGTCCTCTTAGGTGTTTCAAAAAGACATTTAAAATACTGCTATGAAGTTAATGTTCTGAGACCTTTTAAATAAAGATCCCTTTCAATCTGAGTTTCTGTCCTGAATGGAACACTTCTGTGCATGGCCATATGCACACCCTTGTGTTACAATTCAATGTAAATGCCCCTGTGACAGGTGAGTGACCTTCAGGCCTGCCCTAAATAGTTACCAGAGTAGTCAATATACTTTTGCAAGATCAAAATGAAGTAAAACACAAAGAACAATCAAACCTTTTTTATGGGTTTCTATAGTATAACATGTTAATTATGTAGGTGTACATAAAGTTTCTGGAAGCCAGATGGGACAATTCTGGGTATACAAAACTCAAGGCATTTTTTCCAGACATGAGTATCTTGTGCATATTACTTTTAAAACACTATTCATAATACAAAATTTATACTATTTATGTGGTGGGAAGGATAGTCTCAGAGGGATGCAGACATGTGTACTAACACCACTGTGTGTGGAGCCTGCTGACAACAACTGTGTATTAGAACAGTGCACGCATATGCTGCTCCTCCACCACAAAGGTTTGCCAAGATACTATGGACCTCAGATTCCTCTTCAGTTATAAAACTGTATCCACGTCCATTAAACAAAAAAACCCACACACATTAAAATAATCTGGTTTAACATGTGCGCCCTGTCTGCACAAAAATGGAGGTAGTAAGCAGAAGACCTAGGAAGATGAGAATATGGAATGCTGGGCATATTATAACACTAGTTCCACCTAAGCTCCTGCACAGTGCTTCTAACTTATAAATTTCTTAGGGTTTGAAGACCACTAATCACAGAGCCCTTTGTGAGGCGCGAATCATCTGTGTTGAAAAAGATCCTAGAATCATTAAGGATGGAAAAAACAACTTAACCCCATTTCCTCTTGTCTTATCACTAGTCGACTGGGAGAAAAGTCCAACAGCCACCTCACTACAACCTCTTTTCAGGGAGCTGTAGAGTGCAACAAGGTCTCACACCTTAGCCTCCTCTTCTCAAGGCTTAACAATCTCAGCTCCCTCAGCTGCTCCCCATGAGACATGTTGCCCAGACTCTTCACCAGCTTTGTTGCCCTTCTCCGGGCCAGCTCCAGACCCTCAATAGCCTTCTTTTCATCTGGTGCCCAGAACTGAACCCAGTACTCAAGCTGTTGCCTCCCCAGTGCCTAGTCCAGGGACACAATCACTTGCCTGCTCCTGTTTTTGATCCAGGCCAGGATGCTGAGAAGCTCCATAATGACACAGCACTATCTCCAAATCAGTTTTAAGAGTGCTGTGACAAATTCAAAGTTCAACTAAAATAAGCAGATCTTTTTACCTACTCCTTGTTTAACCATTACAAAACACTAGTGAGACAAGAAGCCACAAAATCTGACAGACTACCTCAGTGCACCTTCTGCTAGACTTTTCTTTTCCATTATCAGCCCGACAGGTTGGCCGAGTACAAACGCAGGTTCTACTGGGCTGTACTCTTCACAAACATAGGGGGAAATTCTACTCTCCACATACAATACTACACAGCCACTTTTAATAAATAGATCTTGTTTAAGTCTAGCAGTTCAGTCACTTCATACATCTTCTTTTAAAACACTTGGGATTTATTTATCCACCCTATCTTGATGGGACATTAAGAATTATTTTGTATTCCTCTGGGAATTTGGTGTGCCATTTAGGGCCCCACTAAATGAAAAATATGTATCTTTATTGCAGGCCAACAGCTTCCTCAGCACTATTGTAATATTGCTTCACAAAAAAAAATGGGTGAGGAGAGAGCAAAGGCAGCAAGATTGAGCTCCTTGGATATCTAATTTACTGTACTTTACTCTCCTCATCTTAATGAAGATAAATGTCCTACAGCTCATTCAAGCAGATAAGACTGCTTAATTAACAATGCAATGACAGTCTCATGACAACTGTAATCTCCCAGAGTAACAGTCTATATATTCTGGTTTGTGATCACAGACAACCCCATCAGAAATAAGATGCTTCTGGTAAAACAACAGCCTTTCTTCTCACATAAGTTGTGTGAACTTGCTCTGCAGGTCAAGCTGTATCCCATTCTACTAATTTTCAAAGTACTAAACATCCTGCTAAACACCTAAACAGGATATCATATGCATGTTCACAAGTGACCTACTAACCAGCTACATATGGCATGGAAAAACTGACAACACAACAGAACTGTATTTTCCATTCAACAAAACAAACCCTAAATGCCCTCCTTATCTAGGTCAATAAAATAATTTCTCAAAGTGCATTAATACTTAATAGAAAAATCACTGCATCAGGGCACTGTAGTGTGTTTAAACTCCATATACTAGCTACCCAAACCACAGAACACCAGTAGAGTTAAGAACACCATCAATACCTCTATACATGAAAAAAAAATTGTCACCACTAACAAAACCTATTTAATCTCTTCAAAATATTGTAAAATCAAGACGTAGTATGTTATCATCCCTGCGTTTCCACAGAAAAAGGGTAAGGCAAGCCTAATTCCATTTTTAAGTCAGAGCTTAAAACCTCTTCCTAACCACTAAAAAGCCAAAAAAAAAGTGCTAGCCAAAAACCAGCCAGAAGCAAAATTCAGAACTTAAACCCCATGTTTCATTTCAGTCACAGCCATGGTACAGGTGGGCTAAAATATGACACAAACACAATAATCCTCCTCCTCTCCATTGTTCCAACCTGAACAATGAGCTGGAGATCAAAAAAAAACAACCCAAAAAACCTAAACACCAGTTCCCCCTGAGAAAAACGCCACTGGACCTAAGACAGGGTGCAGTATAAAAATACAAGTATTTCAAGCAGAACAAAACCAAGGTTGTCCAACTTATTCCAAATAAGCTAAAAAAGGGAAGGGGATCAATTTCCAATGCCTGAAATTCTAGAGCAAGATCTGAAAGAACCAAAGTTATTAATTCAACTACTTTTACTACGTGTACTTAAGCCATTTATCTACATCAAACATACAGTCACTGTGTGATTAAAGCTGTTCAAACAATACTTGGCTTTCTCCCAATCTCCAATAATACTTTTCTTGCTATATATAGTCTTCTCAGAGTTTGCAATGCTTTAAAGTGATACAGGGAGAAAAACAATCCTGATTTCACAAACAAAACAATGGGCTCTGAGCTGATGTGTCAGCAGCAAGACTGTCTCTTGGGATTCTGACACTACCCTAACTTCATGTTGGAGCTCAGAAGTTAAAAAAAATCAAATCAAACACTAGGAAGGGAACAGAGAACAAACATCAGAACACCACTATATAAGTCCAGATTTTGCATGCATCCTGAACACTCTGCTGTTCTAGGTCCCTCTGCCACTAAATGTAACATAGCAATACTCAAAGTTTATGGAGGAGTAGAATGGTCAAAGGTGTAGAACAAATTCTGTATTAAAAACAACTAAGTAAGCTAGGGTGCTTCAGCCTGAAAAAGCTATTTTAAGAGAAAATAATGTAACATGGCAGCAATCGACATAACAAGCAAGATGGACAGAGTAAACAGGGAGCAACTGCTGCCTCTTCCATACAAGAGCTAAATAGTTAGCAGAACCATGACAAAATGTAAATGAAAAGGTTTTTCTTGAAACAACAGGTAACTGACCTACAGAAAATCCTAGCCACAAGATGTTGTAAATGCTGCAACTTTGTAAGGGCTCAAAGGAAAAGTGAACAAGTTCACTGGCAGGGAAAACAACAACAACAAAAAAATCCATTAGTGGTTACTAAATATACGGAAACCACATCCAGCTCAGGAAATCCCTGTGCTAAAAATAGTTAGGAGCTGGAAGAGGGCTACAAAGTAGTGTAACATATGCATTTCCATCCTGCACTTATTTGCTTATGCCCATCCTGGGACAAAAGATACTGGCCTAACTCCATCTTTGGCCTGATCCACTGTGACTATTCTTAAAGATCCCACGTCATTCCCACATTACTTTTCCTTAAAAATGGTAGCTTTCAGATACTCCACTACACATTTCAATAGCTAATGACTTTATTTTTTAGTTCAATGTAGCAATGTAGAAGTTAAATGGAAACATTACTGATACACAGTCATCAAATTTTGGTACTTTTCAAGTTCACGGGACACTCCTTTCTTAGGGCAAGAGCAGCCTAGTAAGCAGCTTTCCCTGAAACTGCACTTTTGAATACTCTTCCCTTCTGACAACTTTTAAAGACTGATGCAGCAAACAGCTCTTACAAGGAATATAAATCAATGCTTTTAATTAGAATCATGTTAACAAAATTATTTACTATATCAAAGCCACTGCAGGTCATTGTCCACAGCTATGTCAAACTCCTCTGTTAAAGAGGCTGCATCAAGTACTTTCACAACATCCTTTTTGAATTTCTCAGCCTTCCTCCATCTTCACTACTAAGTGTTCCTAGCAGCTATCAGATCAGGTAAGGTGGCCGTTTCATGTGAGCCTCCAGCCTACTGGAAGTACAGACAAGGGCACCATTGAAATAGGAACAGTAGTTTTGCAGTGAATTTCGTTTTAAGTAGTAACCAATACTACCTATAAGTAACAATTTTCCCTTAAGCAGTAGTAAAGCCATTGAGACATTTCTTATTTGCATTCTAGTAAAGCCATCTGCAGATACATAAAGACAAAGCTCAGCTTTTGAGTGAATTAACACTAATGTATTCAAAGTTTCCATTAATTTTTAGGATTACTGATTCATTTTCTCATGCAGACTCCTTATTTCTCACCTGTCTGTTCCGTTCATCCATTATTCTCGTGATCTGTATTTTCTTCCTCCCCATTTTTGGCCTCTTCTTTCTTTCACTTCACAGTCCAGAAATACACAAACCCCAGAAATGTCACTCTTCAGTAATCTAACACATGATACAGTTTTGTTTTACTTGGCCTTCAGCTTGAGAAACGGTTCCTACTTCTTCTTACAAGTGCCTAAAAAATAAAATTATGAAAAAAATCAGTTTACAAATTACAAAAGAGGAAGCATCATTCAACACTTGTACAGCCATAAACATGCACTTGCATAAAATTATTTCAGTGATCCAAGTGTTTTCATCAGTAAAGCGTTATCCTACATAGTTTGCTGCAGTTAAATCAACTCCAAATAGTTTGCTAGATTCTACCTACAAACTACAGATCTACAATGAACAAGAGTTTCCTACCCTTTCAGTGGGATGCCTTAAAAATTTACAGTTGTCAGAAGGGGTGCTGCTCATCACTGTAAGCTTTAGGCCTTGAGTTATCTGAGGGTTCAAGAATTTACCCACTTTTTGTCAGCTCCATCATTTTAGGAAACCTTTTAGAAAACTGCTCTGCTTTTCCTGTTTCTCTTGTAAAATTATCATCGCTATAATGAAACAAACCCATGAGAATATCGAGTTTCTGTTCCTGGACTAAATTGTATCTCATTCTGTAAAACAATATTTGTGCTTTCACTGGGAAGCAAGAAGGAGAAGAGGGAATAATATATCTTTACTTAAAAAGGATAGAGACCATAGAAGATATTTTCACAACTGAACTATTCCACACCTTCCAAGACACCAATGAATAATTAACATTCACACAGTTACTCTGCCTCTCCAATAACCTGGAAGTTACATATTTGCCAGCATTTGCTAGAATTACCTGCCTAGCACTTGTGTCATGTTGTTGTACTGTTCAGAATGATAAAGGTGTGTGCAACTTGAAAAGCCAGTGAGCCATCATAATACTTTGATCTGGTATTAATGCACCAAACCGATTTCTAAAACACTGATATTTAACAAGCTTTACACTCATTTTTGGTTAAAATAACAAAAAAAATGGCTAAGCCATACCCCAAACACACTGCTTTAACTGTAGGATAACATCAATTCAACAAAACTGGAGAACAATTGCAAACAAATAGCCTCTAGAACATAAACAGTATACTAGAATGTACAAACATGAAACAGGTACACCTTATTCTATAACCACCTAATATTCATTAAAATAACCGAGGTAAAGACAGCCACAAGATTAGCTTATAACCTCTCTAACTTTCCAACCCAAAATGTCTCTTGAAATCAAGCCCTGCATATTTTAACATAGGTGTCACAATGCCATAGCCTTGAGGCCATGTGTAGAAAGTGGTGCAACCACATCACCATCAGACAGTTAATAAGCAGAGACAGCAAGAGGCGATTAGTCACAGGCTACACTTCACAACAGATTCCATTTACTGAGGAAACAACCACAACATTCTGGTGCAGCTTGGGAGGAGAAAAGAAAAAAATAAGAAGAGAAAGGAAAAAAGTGGTGGAGGAACATCACAAAATGAAGGGATGTCATTTTATATTTACCTGATATCAACAAAGGACTGCTTTGGTAAAACATCATAAAATGCTGAACACTATTTAGAAATACTATTCCATGGAATTTAAGATCAAAACAGCACTAAGATTATGTGACATCTATTGGTCAAAACAATATATATACACATTAGACACTGGTTAAAGCATGCATCAGCATTGCATTCCTTGGATTCTCAAGAAAAATATTTCTTCCAAGGTGCCGCTAGAAGGTATTAATAGCTAGCTAAAGCCAGATGAACAAGCCTCTATACAACCAATAGCACACAGAAGGCAACAGCTGACATATTTATACCTTTTTGTGTTTAAAAAAAACCACCAAGAATATCCTCTGTATTTTAAGCTTCAATTCATATAGCATTCAGTCTTATCCCCCACCACTTAGTTCATGCTATGATCACACATTCAGTTTAGTTCTGCAAAGATCTAGTTGCATTCCTTGAACACACCTAATAAAAGGGTCTCTATAGCAGCTCTTAACATTTGTTCTCTACTTCATGTGTGGCTTCATTTTTTAAATATACCATATATTATTGAAACGCTTCTCTGAGTACAGGATTACCAGATTCCTTCCTCTGCTTTTTAAAAGCACTCACCCTCAGAACTAGCACACAGACACAGCCACCACATCTGAAGATCCATCTGGTCCAGCATTTTATTCAGGGCTATTATCAAATATCACTGGGATGGTAAAGGAGGGACACAGGAACAGAATAAGCACATATCGCTTAAAAGCAACATTTATAAAAATAATTTCTCTAGGTATTCAATGATTTTTGAATCAGAAGCTTCTGAAGTCATTTGTGGACTCTTAAATTTAAAGCTCTTCATCAAACATTCCGTGAATGTTACATTTGAACCTGTTAATTTTTAGCACCTAGAGGCAAGCAGTTCCACAGCTCTGTTATGTATCAGAGTAGACAATACATCCCTTCATTTAAGCCTGATCCTGCCCATTACATATGGTATCCACACATTTAATTATATATAATTATATATAAGATATAATATTAATATATGACATGTACCTTCACCTTTCACATTAGTCTTGATTTTGATGCCTACAATACATCTTCCTTCAGGTACATTTACTCAACCCTACAGAGTCCTACTAAAATCAACCACTTTTCACCCAACAGCCACCCTGTGGCCAGCCATCCTGTCCTCCTCTCCAGCCTTTCCAAAACAGGACAGTGTGCATAGCAAAAACAATATTAGGTATACAAAATTTCATGATAGTTTTATACACAAACTTATACAGAGGCATAAAAATATTTTACATTCACTGGCATTAGACACACATCTAGGCAAATTTACTAGTTCCCCAAGTTTTCCTGAGAAACAAGTGTATGCCCCAGAAGACAATTTTTTAAACTCCTATATGGGACAAGACATTTTCCTCATACAGCCCTATCTCATTCAGCTCTTCCCCATTTTGCAACAGATATTCCAAAGCAAGTCTATGCAGTGAATAAAGCAAGGAGCTAGTGGGAGAACAGCGTAGAAAGGAAGAGAAATACCACATGGGATTATGCAATACATATACATTCAAGGATACAAAAGAAAAGAGATTCACAATGTTCTCCATGAGCTAATGGAAGGAACAATAGCAGGGGAACACTATTATCTGCTTCATGTACCACTGCACAAAGGGAAATGGGAAAATTGACAGTAATGTTCACCAATTTTCTTTTGTTCTAGTTTTGGGGTGTTACTTCAGGTCTATTAAAATTAATATCCTCTATTAGGCATAAATGCATCAAACCACTTCCCATTTATGACCTCTGCTTCACCTTCTTTAATCAGTTGCCTCTCATCTCAGGTCTGCTGTTTTCTTCAACCTCAAGCACTTTTCTCACTTAGAAAATTCCAAATCCCTCTTTGCAAGTCTGTCCCCATCTGGGTCCAGCCTCTCCTCCCTCTCCACAGGTTGCTATGGACACCAGAAACCTGGCTTCGAAACACATTCCCCAAAGGCAACCCAGCTCTGAAATGAAGCATCCCTTCCATTTTGAAGTCACATACAAGATCATTTTCAAAGCTAGGAACTGAAACAGAAGCATGCCATGAGCCAAGGGTAGAAAGGATCTACACCAACTGCAAAATCTGAGTTACCATGCAGTAAAAACCACTTTTCTTATGCACCCAAAACATCCAAACGGGAAGTTACCACCACTGACAAACACATTACATCTCTCACGGGAGCAATGACTTCTCCTAACTCTTGATCATGTCAGAGTTGCAGTTTTGTTTTCCTTTCTGACTACCAACAAAGCTATGTAAGATATAAGACTGTCTCCGCTATATAGTTGCGTGAAAAAAGCAACTGGCAGTTTTAATTTTGCTAAATCACAGATGAATTGCAAATACACCTATGTAAAATTCTTAAGTCAAAGCCATTTAATTTAGATCACAATGAACTTTAGCCCAAATAAAGGAAAACTAGCAAATATATATGAATATTAAAGTACATTTATTTATGAAAGCAAATGTGAAACTGATGTGAAGCAACCTTGATGAAGATAAAGTTCTACTTCCTTAAGTGACAGAATCCATTTACAGCCACCAAAACTGCCTTACATTACTCATATGGGCCCACTGAAAAAAAATATTTTCTCTTTTCTTTTTAAGAAGAATTTCAGGCATGTAGTAAACAAAATGGTAAGAGTATGTAGAGAAAAGATAAAAACCTCATGTGCTTCACAATGAGCTTCAAACAGAAAATGTCAGTTTGCAGTAATAGCAAGAAAAATTTTACTTGTAGCTGTCCAAATAAAAGCCTCTATTATTGTATTGTAAGGAACCTTCACTCAAAGTTTTCTGGATTTATTTCCTTTCCCAACACATGTGAAAACATCTCGCTAAATATTGAAAGACAACAGAACCATATGCAAAAATATAGCCTCATGACTGCATATTTTCAGGAACATGGATCCATTTGTTGCCAAGATTTCTTACAGTTTCATAAGTAGCACAAGATGTATAACTTGAAAACAAGGAAACTGTTTGACCTACTGAAAAAAATTATTTCAAGGGTTTAGTGGAGACAAATTATATTTGTGCAGATCTCCATTAGGTCCTGAAGCCTTCTGTGGCAGAACAGGTTGGGAAAAACCATGTCAGAATTACACTCCCTAGGTTTATTTTCCTTTTATTCCTCTCTGCCTCTGTTTTCTTGGAACCTCCATTTCACCATCACGGCTTCAGGTTACATTTGACAGTAATCATCTCATCATAGCTCATTTACTGCAATGCACAAAGAGAAATGAGCATCATGACATCAGAAAATTTGCATGATAACTCTCAAAACCACAGCTGTGTGAAAACAGATCTGTATAGATGCCTCTAACATGGGTAAACCTTAGATAAGGCTTACTAAATGGACAATTTTTACTAAATCAAGGTTAATAGGTCTCTTTCTAGTTTCAAAGGAGCCTGTACAGATCTTTGGGTAGCTGTGGCCCCTAAGCATGAACTGATGGGCACAGACTGCACAACCAGATCACAGCCAGACTGCACTCACCAGCAATTCCAACTAGCACTGCCTGCTTACCACGGATGTGATCAGAACCTAAGTACCTCCCACACTGCTCCAGATAG